GAAAATAAAACAAAATGTGATTGGAACATAATAATTAAAAATTAATTAATTAACTAGATTTATTTAAAACCAAAATAAAATAAAATAAAATCGTAAAACCTTTTTGTCTCAAACCAGAATTATGCCATAAACTCATAATTTTGTTGTTTAGACAATGATGCGGATGAAAATGAAAAGTACTACGGAGTCAGTGTTGGTTATTTACAAACACGCCTCAAGAGTCTTGAAGATGAAAACCGTAGTTTACGTGGTGAAGCCAATCGACTTGCAATGCAAACCGACGAGGTAGAAGCCAAGGAAGCACAACTCATGTCTGATTTTGCTTCACAACTTAGTGTTACAAGGTCTGATCTATCAGTCATCATGGAACAAGCAGATAAGCATAGAGAGGAAAATGTGACATTGCATAACAACTGTGAATTCCTTCGTTCAAAACTAGCCTGTATTGAAGCCTCATTAAAAATTGTATGTCAACCTAATATATATACATAATAATTATAATGTGAGTTGTTACTTTGATTTAATTAAATTATGTTTTTAGAAAACCGATGAAAATGAAGAACTTATGGCAATGTTGATGTTGGCAAGGGATACTCAAAATGAACTGGCAAATGAAATAGTTGAAGTAAAAAAACAATATGAAGAAACATTAAATATACTTCATGAATGCCAGACAGAACTTAAAAGTTATAGAGATAAACACATACCCTTAGCTCGAGCTGGGCCTTTATTCACATCCCTTCCACCGTATTTGAATTCAAATGGACTGCACAGTCATGGTCATAGTTCTTTGGAAAGTTCATTATTTTCTGAACTTAGTCTAGATTCGGGGATATGTACAGGAAGAATGTAAGTAAATAATATACAGATTTATGGAACTATGCTGGTATCATAACTTGATTGTAGGTCTGGTGCGAGTAGTTATAAGAAATCTATTGGCATGATGAAATTGACTTCAGCTATGGAAACGAGCACTAGAAATTTATCCAGGCAAACCGCTTACAACGATCTTATGGAAGAATCTCCCACACAAAGCGATTGTGATGATTTCTCTGACTCCGATTCATTTATTATGTAAATTTATCATTTGGTTGTTGAATAATTATATTTTTTGTTAATTTATATATATATATGTGTGTGTGTATGTGTGTGTGTGTGTGTTTATATAGTGAGCAGCCTGGTATACCTGGTGCTCCCGGATCAGAAGATTTGGCTAATGCTTTGAAACGTCTTACACCAGCTTCGATTAAAGCTCGGCGTGCGGCTTTAGGATCTGGTTTCTTGTTTTCCGATCCTTATGATTCTGCAGATACAAGAACACCTGATTCGATTATGTCTACTGGTAGTGTAAGTTTGACTGCTTGGAAAACGCCAAATAAACTACAGGTAATTTCAAAAAAAATATAAACTTTTAATTATTATCAATTTTGTTTACATTATTTTTTTTTCGGCGTTTAGTTGGTTAAACCCATGCAAGGATCATACACACTACAACAGTGGAACGCTCAGTCGGTGCCATCGCTCAGTTCTATACTAGAGGAGCAACCTCAAGGGGTGATTAAAAAGTGTGATTCCACTGCCCCCATATCAGGTCTTCCTCAAACATTTAGACTCGATGAAATTGAAGAAGATGAACCTAGAACACATCCTGGAAAAATGTTCCAAATGTCCACTCACATTTACACTATTACTAATTCAACTGTTATGCATCCAGATGATGGTACAAGTGTAACTACCAGGTATTATACATTTGAGAAGTTTTATAATTTGGGAGTAAACAATATTGGGAAATTTTAGTATGATATTGTGAATTAAAAATATTAAATAAACTAAAAAATAATTAAATTTTATCTGAAATAAAATAAAAACATGGGAGCTATTTAAGATTGAATTAAATATTAAAAGAAAATAAGTTAACCTAATGGAAATCACAAAAATTATGTAGAACTAAATTTAACAGTAATAAAAAATAAGCATGTCTAATATTATAGTTTATTTTTATTAATTTAAAATTACTTTTTCTTATTAATAATATATTATTTATATGTTTTAGTGTTCGAGGTAGCTCCATGTCCACTGCAGTAAATAGCCGTGTGAATAGTAGATTGCCTACCAGAGAATCAACGCCTATGCTATCTAGGAGGAACTCAACCACCACATTTTCTACAAACAGTAGCTTAGCTGCCATGTTGAACGAAAGGGGTATTAGAGCAATTACACCATCAGCCTTAGCAACTCCTATGATTTCTACAACAGCTACACCCTGTAATAGTCCATATGGATCACCTAGTGGTTCTCCCGATCGTTCACGTTCACCTTCGCCGTCAGATTCTCCTTACTCTCATCCGTTTGGATTACCTGGTAAATTTCATTAGTGATTTTTATTTTAAAGTATCAATTTTGATTTATTTATGTTGTAGGATATTTGATGCATAGTGGTGCTAAATTATTGAGAAAGACTTTAGTGGGTACAGAGAGAGGCACTGACCACAAGGCTCGTAAATCCAAATCACTCGTCCGACTAGATAAAAAGGTAAACATGTCATTTTATAATAATTTCAGACTAACATAATATTATAATTTAAATAGACATTGGCTGGCATACGACTCGTGGAGACAATGAAACACTACGTTCCAACATTTCCTCCAGATTCATCTGAACGTCCTGTATTTGATATAGGCGCATGTGGTATACCTCCTAAACCCGAAAATGGTGCCTTAAAACAGCGACTAAAACAATTAGATAGCAGCAACGATACCGGAGGTCCTAGGCTTCGTATGGATTTAGGTACTGTCGGTCCTTCTACAGATGACCCTCAGCCTTCACGGGGTACTCTTATTAGTTCTATGCTTTTTGCTCGTAAAGGAGGATTACTATAAAATTAATATTTATTTTTATAAGAGTGAACTATTTAAATGTACATCAGTGCAATGTTAGTACATAATAATTTTGTTCTTAACCATTGTAAAATCTCCCTCCCCTCTCCCACCAAAAAAATCAAATTTATTTTGAGTAAGTATTATTATATTAAAAATATGACCCCAAAATATACCCCAACATATTTGTATAGGTTCTCTTACCTCCAAATTTAAAATATATTTCTATAAAACAAATTTCAGAATATATTTTTATAAAATTGTTTTCTGAACTTTAAATAATCCATTATGTAACTATAACTATTTTTTTTTTTCTAAGAATCTACAATTTTCGTATGGTAACTAATTGTCAATAATAGTAAAATTATTAATTCCTTATTATTACCAAAATGGACGTTATCTGTTAAAATGTTATGTATATTAATTGTTTTTTTAGTCTCGCTCTGCTCATGCCTATAATACGCAATTGGCGTATTTTAGATGCTTAACGGTGCTATATAAATTTAACTTAATATATAATTTTTTTTTTTTATTATTTAAATAAGTCCTTTAAAGACTGCAATCATAATACGTTTGTTTCATTTTACTAATTATAGTAGGACTTATCTGAAATATAGTAATTATTTACTATTTTTAATATTATTTTTCCAATATGTATTAATCCAAACGAAAAAAACATCATTCCACATATTATACTGACAACCTCAATTATTTATTTTCATTTTGATAACTAACATTACTTACAACAGCCTACAATATTATATTATTATCCTAAAAAATGATCACGACCTAAGTTAAAAATAAAATACTCTTAAAGTCGCACAATATTTTCATCATCATTGCATTTACAATAACAAATATATACATTTTTTTTTAAAATTCCAATAATAAAACATATTTGGTGTCACAGCCAATATAAATTATTGAAGTGTTTTTTTTTTTATTTCCTTATTGGTATATACATTTTTTTTTATTTTATGCTTCAAATAGAATTAAGACAATTAAGTTTGTTTTACATACTAACTACCAAATTACTGTGTGTGTATATATATATATATATATATTTTTTTTTTTGTTAAATATTTGTCCGGTTTTTTCTCTAAAGATCAAAGATTTACTTTATGATCAACCTTACTTTAAAAACTTAATATTTTTAAAGAATGAAAGCCGGTCAAATATTATATCGTTTTAAACATCTACTGTTCTTTTAGTTAGTTTTTAATGTAGAATCTTCAATTACTCTTAAGTACGAGAGTAATTTAAGAATGTACTTTAAATACCTAATATTTTACATATATTTTTGTTTATTTTATTTATTTTTATGTTTTACCTAATTTGAGCATATAGCCGTAAAATAAGTATTTCTGTGTTAAAATCTCTTGTATGCATAAAAAATGATTTTTTTTTTTTTTTTGTAAATGAAAGAGAAAATATTTCCTTTAGTTACGAATGTTGTTTATTAAGTGATGGAGCCCTGCGGTTCGATATATATTTTTTTAAAAAAAAAAAATTTTTGAAGAGACTGAATTAGTATTCAACCAAATTTTGTACATTACTTTATTTTTTTTTTTTAATTAGTTTTACTAGACGGTTTCAACCAGTACCTAACATCCTTTTTTTTTTTTTTTGGTTTGAAAATTGTTATTTATAGTTAAAAAAATATGATATAACAGTTATATGTTTAATTAATGTAAGATCAACAATCGCATATGTTAGCGATCTAATAATTTATTCTGTTTAATGTAATTATTTTTAGCATTAGCTGAAGTAAATATAAAAAAAATGTATTTGTTGACTGAAGCTAAACAATAATATTGTATGTATTTTATTTAATCATTTTCCTTTTAACACATAATTTGTTTTCCAAATGTATGAATAATTTTAGTTATATTTATATTATGAGGATCCCTCAACCTTTTAAATACGGTCTGCAATGCGTGATATGTCACTGTGACGATCAAATTATTTTTTTCAGTCAGTAATCATATTTCTGTTTAAATGTGGAAACACGAATATAAATTAAATTCTTAAATTTATTTAATAAACCATGGATAAATTATTAATTTTATTATTTGTTTACCAGATTTATCAATTTTGATCAATATCTCTTTCCTTATACCATTTTAAAATAAAATATTTTTATAATCCACAACTGCTATATTAAAGGATTAATTTGCACCTCACCAAAAGTGTGCTCTCCACGACTTGTCACATCTTGCAGATCTCATTTTATGATTTCCGTCAAAACAATTATTAACAATATGTCATGGTGACATGTCACCCCTTGCAGACTTAGTACCTTTACAGACTAACATATCATGATCGTGAAGGTTTGATTTTTTTTTTTTGGTATATTTATTCTATTTTTTTTCAACCAGTCTTGCACAACTTTAATGGTTACATTTAAACTATTGGCAAAATAATATATCTATTTTTTTTCAATTATTTTTTAGTCTTCTAAGGTATGTAAAACCTTATAATGGACTTCCATAAGGCAAACAACCAAATTAAAATGAAAAACAACAACTTATATAAATAAGCATATAATTGTTTACATATTTTAGTCTCCCTATAACAGAAACTCATTTATAACGGAAAAATCAGTGAGTACAGAGCAATTCGCTTACAATAAGGTTTTACTGCACATGTATAAAAAGGTATACATGTTGAAAAACAATGAAAGAAATTGTTTTGGTCTGCAAGAGTTAAGGGATTATATCAAACCTATAAATATGTTAACCAGGGTTTGGGACTTTAAGCATTTGCTTACTTTTTAGCTTAATATAAAATGTAGCAGAATGCTATGGAAACTCATGTTGTTACAATTATCTCAAATATGAAATTTTTTAAAGGGCTTTTTTTAGTTTATTTAAATTGTTTTTAGAAAAATTGATTTTTTCTAGTTTTATTAATTATTTTTGGTTGTTTGCATATCTCTACTTAATTATGACATATATCACTGACAACCTAAACATTTGAGTCAATTTCTGTTTTAGATTCTAAAAGAAACAAAAGATCTATTAATTTTACTATAATGTGTATTTTTTTTTTTGTCATTTTTTCTTTTAGAAATCTTGCTCCAAAAAAAAAAAAGACGAGATCTTTTTAGTGTTTTGTCGCATTTTAGCTATAGTGGGTACTTTAGGAAGATAATTTTTTTAAATTCAACATTCAAGATAATAATATTAAGTTGATTCTTTAGGTTAAAAATAATTAAAAAGAAAGTTGTTATTGACAACCCTTAAAGTTAAAATGTTTTAAAAAATTAAAATGTGTTAAATTTTTTGATATTTTTTAAAGATAGCATTTTTTTTAAATTTAAAAATAAATAACAATATTAAAAAGATCATGTCATGGTTTTTGTCATACTTTTTTTGGGTTATTTTAATATTTTACCAAGAACAAAATTGACCAAAATCAATATTAAATAATGTACCTTAGTACCTATGTATTTTTAGGTATCTAGACAAGTTTTTATTGTTTTTCTGGTTTGTGTACAATATACAGCCAATTTTTCTGATATTTAGAGATCTAAAATAGTGAATATGACAACTTAAAATTGCTTTACTTGATTTTTATAATTATAAAATCTTGATATGAGAAAAAAAATGTTAAGTTTTTCTTGATTACATCATGAATGAAAACCTAAAATAACATTACAACTACACTTTTTATAGATGATATTGTGAATATAATAATCAACCCAGATGAAATTAATCTTATGATTATGCAAATTGAATTACATTTTATTTAAGTACTAATTTTTTGTATGTTCCTAAATCTTCTAGTTTGAGAATGAATAAGTTAAAAGGTCATGTTTTTAAGAATAGCAAGTAGCACTTATTTTTATAAAATGCACTCAAAATTAGTAAATAACAATGAAGTGAATCGGCAAATTTATATTTTTACAATATACACTAAGTATAGACTAAATAATTTTAGAACACTGTTGGTGGTTGACGATTGCTTTTGGTCAATGATTTCATTTTCTTTTCTACTAATCTCATACAATTTGCTTTTTCAATTCTATAAAAAAAAAAATTGAATAACATTTGGAAAAAATTAATATAAATTTAAATTTTACCGGCGTCTCATCTTTTCAATATTTTCTTCAGATGGCTTTGGTTCTGGTTCAATGGTTTTCCAGATAAGTTTACGCAAACGTTCCATAGCATCTGCCAGATTCAATTGTTGTGATCGCGTCTTTTCTGAACGAATCACTAAATATCCATCTTTGGTTAGTTTATTTTTACTCTACAAACAATTAATTATAAGCAACACTGATCTTTTGCATAAATCTTAAAAACAATAAGAACACTTAGTTTAATATGTATTGTTCTACTCACAACATTAATTAATTTTTGTTTAACTTCATCGTTGATCCAATTGGCTGATTTCACTTTGAACCTTAAGTCGACTTTAGTGTTCACTCTATTAATATTTTGACCGCCCGCACCACTAGATGTGCTGTATACAATGTCCAGTTCTTCAACTGGTATATACCCAGAAAAAGATTTATTGGTGGTGGGTATCTAATGAAAACAATTTAGTAGTAAGATGCTCTCCAATGCCTTCAAATATGTAAATACATACTTGATCAGGTTTTGGTGTGGTTATTTTCAATGAACTATTCGGATGTAAGTTCTTCAAGTTTATAGCACTTGAATATTGTGACCGAGACAACGTCCGAACGATGTTGTTGCAACAACATTTCAACAAATTAAAATTCATGTTTCTTTTAAATATTTTAACTACTTGACTAATTACGTGTAATTTCGTCCTTTAATCCTTACGGATATCTTATAAATTTTATTACAATTTTGTAACTAGTCTGGAAAACGCTATCAGTTTAAATGATTATTTTTATCAAAATCCAGGGGTACCCAATCAAAGTTACATATTATGATCTAAAAACAGAGGTGGCGTGGAAAATTGATTCCACAAATGCTAACAAAATACAAGTTCCCACATTAAAAAAATTCCTGATCTCAAAACAATTAAAAAAATAACATGATTCAGAATTGTTGTCTGTATCAACTATGAATAAAATAGTACTAATTACGATTATGATAATAAATTATTGATAATCTCATGTCATATACAATCACAGATTTATATAAATATATTTATGGAAAGCACGGTCTTAGATGGAGTCTTTCGAAAAATGTATGACACCAACATAACAGCTCTAGAACCGTAATGATATTTTTCTATTTAGTGGTTGGACTTTTTTTCCGGAATTCGACACAAATTGTGTACAGCCAACCACCTTTTTCCTGCTACGTTTATTTTCATAACAATTCTTACTGCTTATGATTCTTCTGGTTTTATAATATGCCCAAACCATTTCAGTCTATTTTCTCTCATTTTATCCACTATCAAAACTACCTCTTATTTACTAATTTCTTACTCTTTGTTGTTTCATCCCTCCACTGTTCTACTTAAGTATTCTCTATTATATCTGTCGGTCTACTGTTCAAAAATCTGAACCAAATAGTATAGCCGGTCTCACTACTTTTGAATAATTTACCTTTAAGTCTCATTTGAATCCTCTTATGACATAAACCAACAGATACTTCTTCCTGTCTTATCCACACTTAATCGTGTTTCACAACTCTGTAAAATCCATCATTATTGGCACATATAAAAGTTATTCAATGAACCAAATACTGAAATACAAAACACAACCTAAAAAATGATAAGTGCTATAGCACTTATAAAAAAATATAATCCTTTATAACTATATTTTAGTAATATTCTTGGCCATATGTTTTTCAATGTAAATAATTAAAAATCGAACACGGTAAATTTGGTGTATAATAAAAATATAATATAGTTTATTAATCCACAATAGATTTTATAATTTGTGTTCAAAATATGTAACACTACAATAATTCAATATTTGTTGTGGTTTTGTGAGCATCTTTTTAAAAATATAATTTACTTTAAAATTATAGTAAACAAGCAAAATATGTCTAACTTATTATGTTAACATTACACTCGGAAGTATATGAATATCACAGTAATATAATTAAACTAAACATTAATTATTACAAAAATTACTATACTTAACAAAATAATAATTGTGAAAAAAATTAATTGATTAATAGTAGATTATAAAAAAATTTAAATGATATATTAATTAAGAAGTGCTGTTAAACTATATTATTAAAATATTAAAAATACGAAAAAAGTAGGTATATTAAGAAGTTTTTATTAGTGCTAATTCATCAGTATTAGGAAACAATGAGAACGATAATAATAATTTATAACAAGGAATGCTTAGAGTTCGTCGTCAATGATTGGGAAATCACCAATTTCAATCGCCGAAGGTGTAACAAAAGATCCATATTTAGGAAGAGTTTCAAAATAACGTTTTCCATTTAATGAGCCATCGTGTTTGCCGTATGGTTCATCATATTTCACACCAACCCAATAACCATTTTTATCATCTAAACGTCCTGTATACATGACAGTACCAAATTGGGTAGGTTTGTTTGGTAAACGGATACAACACCTCTGACCAATTTTCATCTTGTTGATGAGTTCTTTTTCGATATTTTCTTGTTGTTCTTTTTCTAGATTTTCTTGTTCTTGTTTTTTAAGGTAATCCGGATTGTATTTACCCAACTTGTTCATTTTCAAAAAACTCTTTAACGTTTCCTGAAAAAAATATCAAGTTAAATATTAGACAAAAATTACTAAGACTGGGTACTTATTCAATAATTGAATAGTGCAAAAAGTGCACCTACTTGTTTAGCATTATATTCTTCTTCAGTCATTTTATAGCCATCAAACACATCATTGGACTCTTCGAAAGCCGGATCGTCAACCACTAAGAACATGCCGTTTTCAACAGGATACGAACCCAGTTGTGAATCATCATCGTCCATTTTGGTTACCAAATTTTCTTTGTCATAAACCGACAGCAACATCGTAGCGGCCGACCGACCAGTAACCATTTCCAGTTTATTCTTCAGGTCACCGATCGTCATTCCTCTTCTGTATCGTCTAGAATTTATTTCGGGTTCTGAAAGTTTGGTGCACACGTACACTTCCAACATTTCCGATAAATGATCACCTCGTCCGTTCATACTAACTTATAAAACGCGGCCGAAAATAATGTAAATAGAGTGAGTTTAATATATGATTAGAAAAATAAATCAACAAAATTATTTCTAATATTTCAAATATTATTGCAAGTTGTAGTTTTTTAAAATACCTATAACTATAAAAGGGATATTTTATTCAGATAAATAACAGATAACAATTTTCGATAAAAAAAAATGATAAAGATCAGCGTTGCCAATTCACGAAACGAGAAATCAATCGAGAAATTCAAATCTGTACAATTTACTTTGCGGCATAATTTCGGCACGAAACGCAGGTTCGAAAAGTTAGGAATTTATTCAGTTAGCTTCAGTAATAACCACAGTTGTCTGTGTATTTTAAAAATTGTGTATTTACTTGCACTCTGAGATATTACCATAATTACTCATGTTGCTAAAACAAATGCCAAAACCAATATTCAATTCCAAACCCAATACATACGCATACCGTGTTGGTGCCAGAGCTGGAAAATCGTAATTCTTACCGCTGGATAATATCTAGTGTGGCTATACGAGTAGAAAATCTTTGTAATGTTTTTCAATATTTTGCCTTTTTTTTCCAAAACCAAAAGCAAACATAATCTATGAAAAGCAGTCCGAAAATCGAAAAATATTGTAATGAATTACCTGGTTATATTTTTGATAGGTAATAGGTATCCGGTAGGTATGGTCATACTGCTGGCTGACGATAGTTCTTTTCGGTGACATTTTTTTCATACACTATTAAAAAGTGATATGGACTTCATGGTTTTTTCTACAGACCCAAGAGCCCGACTCTAATCATCGTTATTTATTATTATTATTGTTATTACTATTATTATGGTTTTAAACCGTAGTCGAACACACGGAATGTAACGGAATGTAAGTGGTTTTATGTTTCCTGTACTTCTAATTTCTATATTACTTTGCGTACAGTCTGTAATAGATATTTTTTATTTTATTTAATATTTTAGAGTATGTAATGCATTAGTAAATGTATTACATTAGTTATTACCAATTTTATTACTTAGTACTCATTAGTCTAAGTACAGGTTAAGCAATAATGAATAGAAATATTATGAAGAATAAAAAAAGCGGATCAGATAGTGGCACTTGTTCATTTACTTCATCGCCAATTATTAAGCGTTTCAAAAGGAATGATGATTCTTTTTCAACTGATAAACTTCCAAATGAATCTGATGAAGAGCATAATAATTTACAGAGTCCATCAATTAAAAATACACCATCTCAATCATGGTTAGAAGAATGTGAAGATTTAAGTAGAGATTTGGGTAATTATTTAAATAAAACAGTAGTAAGTGATGATGCAAAATTTAGTATTTTGGAATTATCTAATATTCCTAAAAACAAATTTGTTTACCCTTATAGTATACATCCATATAACGGCATTCAGAAAAAAAGATTTCTTAAAAAAAATCATTTTGAAGAATTCAAATGGCTCGTTTATTCAGAAAAAGCAGGGGGCGTTTTTTGTAAATACTGTGTTTTATTTGCCAAATTTAAAGGCAGTGAAGACAAAAATATGGCTATAAAAAGTCTTGTTACTGTTCCATTAACTAAATATGCTAAAATAATAGGTAAAAATGGTTATTTGATTAAACATCAGCAAAATATGTACCATATGAATGCAGTTTTGACAACCATTGATTTTTTAATTCATTTAAAAAACCCTAAAAAAGGAATTATAAATATAGTTGATACAAGTCAAGTACAGCCAGAAGGAGATGATGGTTGTTTAAGATTAAGTCCAATTGTTGACATTAAGAAAGTTGTACTTAATGGACGTCAAAACATATCACTCGAGGGACATCAAGATCAAAATCAGCATAATAAATCAGTTGTTAATAAAGAAAATGTTATAATTTCAGCTGGTGAAACAATTTTAGGAAACCAACTACAAATAACCAATTCTAAGCCTACTAATATGATCCAAGAACAAATTATTAATCGCTGTAAAGATAAAATAGTGCCTAATATTTTGGAGAAAGTAAAAGCAAGCTATTATTATAGTATAATATTTAATGAAACAACTGATGTATTTCATAATTCTAAAATAAGTTTAATTTTAAGAACCATCAATTCAGTAAATATAGTTGATGAAAGTTTTATTTCTTTCATCGATTGTTATGATTGTGTTTATGGAAGAAAAGTTGTAAATGAAGACCTTGATAAAGACTTACATAATAATGAACCCAATTCTGGGCATGATTTAATGGAGCCCAAGTTAACTGGTGAATTATTAGGTAATATTGTTGTTGATAAATTAAAAGAATTTACATTTGACTTAAATAATTGCATTGGTATTGGAACTGATAAATGCTCAGTGATGACATCTGTGATGCAATGTGCAGTACAGCAAATTCAAAAAAGTTGTATAAATGCCCTACACAGTACATTTTCAAATCGTGTTACAAATTTATCCATTTTCAAATCATCCAACGTGCAACTTGTTAGGAATAATGTGGGTACTGTCATAGAAGTTTTGTCATTTTTTAATTCATCGCCTAAAAGAAATATTGTATTAAAAAATTCTTTAAAAAACAAAAGATCATTAACATTATTGTGTGAAACTAAATGGATAGAATGTCATGATTCTATTTTTGAATTTCAAGTTAACTTAAAGAATATAATTATATGTCTTGAAAGTATATCTGAATGGAATGAACAAGTATCATCGTCTAAAGCTAAATGTTTACTTAATGCTGTTTGTAATTGTGAATTTGTTGTTACACTCTTTGCATTATCCAATATTTTATGTGTTACTTCAGCAGCTGGTAAATTATTTCAAGGTGTTGGATTTGATTTAGATGAAGCAAATAATTGTATAGATAATATTATAACTACAATAGAGAATAAACATACTAACTCTAAAATTATATTCAATAATATTTTTGAAGAATGTAAGATCTTCATGACAGAACTTGATATAGATATTAAATTGCCTAGAGCAATTAAACAACAAATACAAAGATACAATACACCTGCAAGTTTTCCAGAAGAATATTATAGACGTGTACTGTTTATACCTATTCTAGAAAATACCATAGAAAATTTAAAAGTGCAGTTCTTGAATGATAAAAATAAAACTATTTTTATACTTATGCAACTTATTCCAATTAATTTCATAAAGACGTCTTCAAAGGCTAGAAGTATATTGATTGAAACAGTAATAAAGCAATACTCATTTTTAAATTTCAACATCTATTCTCTCAAAGGTGAATTAGAACTGTGGACAACTAAATGGGATGACAAAATGTGCAAAGGTAAATATAATTATATATTTCTATTTAAGTAACTAATGTGTTAGAATACAAATTGCATTTGTTTAATTAAATTATTTTTTTAATTTTAGGGTTACAAGTTCCTACTAATGCATTTGATGCAATTGAAGAATGCCCTCATGTTATGTTTCCTAGTTTAAGAAAAATTCTGTTTATATTATGCACTCTTCCAGTAAGTGTAGCTACCACAGAATTCAGTTTCTCAACTCTTCCCAGGTAGTATTTTCAGTTTTTAGAGTTTTTTTAAGTTGAAAAAGTATATAATTATTTACAGAATTATATTATTTTTTTAAAAATAAAATTTTAATATTCTTATTTTAAATACTTACTTTTAGTAGAATATAACAATAATATTATTCATTTTAATACTAATACATATTTGAAAAAATAATTTAACACATAACTTCTACTACATACACATGAATTATTACACTATAATAATTAGAGTGAATAACTGTTGAGATCATTAAGGTTATTTTTAACTGCCGTATATATATACAGATGTTCTACCGTGTTTGATGGATTTTTCTAGAGCTATTAAACATTATTTTTTTTTTAATCTGTTTTTCTTTGAGGGGATAATTTCTTTATAGAAAAATTAAACTTTTTATTTTATCCCTTAATCACTAAGAAAAAAAAAATAACTTTATTTAATCATTTTACTCAATTTTAAAAATAGCCACTTTGTAAAAGATATTAAAAAAATGTTCTAAAAATTGAAGAATATCATATAGTTATATCCGATTAATAGTTTTGTAGCTATAGTTGTTTAAATTTTTAGAAAATAGGCATAACATCAATTAATTTTTAATAGAATAACATATTATCCAATAAAGAATCACAATCAGCTCTGTAATTCCTAATCTTTTATTACATTCTAATTGCTTTCACACCTATTTTCTAAATATTTAAACGGCTATAACTAAAAAAACTATTGATCGGATATAGATATATGATATATTAAATTTTTAAAGTAATATGGTTTACAAATTGGATATTTTGAAAATGTTTTAAAGTGAATAAATAAAGTTATTTTTTTTCATTGATTAAGAAATGAAAATATAAATTCGATTTTTCTCTAAATAGATGTCCCTCTCAAAGAAAAGCTATTGAAAACAAAAAATAATAATAACTTTGAATAGTTCTAGAAAAATTAGTCAAACATGGTTAAGACGCTCTGTATTTATAATAAAATCAATTATTACTGCTTTTATTATTATTTTTTTTATTCAAGTATAAACTCCAGCCATTTAAAATTATATCTATTGTTACTTTATAATTATACTTCTTCAGTACTTGGTTATTAATTATTACATGTATTGTTTATAGAATATTACAATAATATATTTTATTAGATTCATCAAATAAGTTAAAATTTGTTTTACAAATTGTATTGGTCTCCATCAAATTTTTAATTATATTAAGACTAATTTATTATACAAAATACAAATTTCAGGAGTAATTTGGTTGATTTTAAGGGAGAGACCCCCCCCCCCCCCCCTTGACTTTCACTCATAGCACTCTTACAAATTTGTCCTTAAATGTTGTGCTATGACTGCACAGTGTCGTTGTAATGAGATTGATTAATGTGGTGTAGCATGAGAGGCAGGCCTTCTTAGCCAAGTCTAGGCTATTATGGCTAAGAAAGATGATGAAAGGATAAAACTGTCAGATAAACATTATCAAATAATATATATATATATTATAATATATATATATATTAAAAAGTACAATACTTTAAATCTATTATGTATTTTATTTTTTTCTGAGGTTTTTTTTTATTTTAGAGATTAGTTAGATATTTGAATTTCGAACATACATTAATATATATTTTTCCTCATCCCCTCCCCCACTCCAATCATGTGTTTACAAAACACCCCCAATATGCTGGATTTTTTTTGTTAGTTCTATTTAAAATGTAAAATTATAAAAATAAGGGTTTTACATTATTTTAGTTAAATACTAACTATTTGTTTTACAGTATCATTTATAATTATTGCAAACAACTTTTATTTATTGTGTTTGTTTTTATAGAACTGATTTAGTTAAAGACAATAAACCAATATTTATTTGTAAATTATGCAAACAAATTTTGAAAAATCGCAATGAAAATAATGTGAACAACCAACTTACTGAGAAAAAGTAAGTTCATTTTTTTTTTTGTTGTTTATTGATTACTTATAATTTTATATTTAATTCAACTTTTATGATTTTTCTAGTTTAATTTTTCGCTCCACTTGTCGCTTTTGCAATCGTGTTTTTGAAACTAAAATTGGATTCAAATATCACTTAAAAACTATACACAGTATCATAAATGATGTTGATTTAGTTGATGAACAGTATAATGAAGAAAATGGGATATGGTTTTCTTATAACTCTGTTGTTGTATCACAATCAGAACCATTCACCATGACATTAAGAAATTTACATCTACATCACTAACATCAATGTAAATTCTCCAGAAACAGAAAGTGACCAGATTAATAATTTAAAAAAGGACATACTTAAATATTATAAATTAATATTTAATTAAATTGATATCCATAGATACATTTTATGTTTTTTATTTTCAATGATTTACACTAAATACTATACTGTCTATACTCATGTATAAACAAATACACCACTGACACATTTTCTTAAATCTTGATCATTATTATTTCATTGATTTTTAACATACTTTGTTGCCTTACAATCAATATATTTTGTTGTATGCATTTTACTACATTTGTTTTAATTCGGAATCATTACACATTGCAAACTAAAACAAAGTTGTCATAATTTCCACTTTATCTGCAAAATAATGGTTATTTTCCTTTTATTTAATATATTTGTACCTATAAGAGAATTTCTTAATAATTTAGTTAGACTTAAAACTGTATGCAATCCGTTAGAATTTATAAATTACAATAATTGTTTTTAGCATACCTTGTTGCCTTAACAATTTATATAGTATAATTAATATTATGTACTCATAGGTATGAATAGGTAATTTTTGCAAGAGAAAAAAAAAGAAATTTTAGACTCGCCTTGTAGCCCCCCTGGTATTTGTTAAGGGCGCTAAATTTTCTAGACTAAAAAGACTAAAAAAGTTTTCAAAAAAATTATAAATCATATGAATAATTCATATATTTTATGTACGGGGTGATCTATCATAAGACACTCATTATCTCGGAAAGTATTAACTTTTTTTGGAACTGGTTTTCTAGAACATTTAAGAAATAATAAGGCACTCTATAATTCTATCATCATTTTTTTTTTTGTCACCATTATTTTTGGTGATGAAATCACCATCCACTATTGATTTTCAAATGACAACCTACATTAAAAATTACATAAATAGATGGAGAATTAATTCACTATATTCTCAACTCGCCGGCTAATCTTTTAATGACTGCAGGTCATACATTTATTTTTAATTATACTTAGCAATCTTGAACTTTCTTTTTTCTTTTATTTGTCGTTTTTATATATTCTATGCTAATTGTATTTTAGATGCACAACTTTTTAGCACTTAGATTTTACTTATTTGTAATATGACTAAGTTTCGGTTTATTTGAATAAATAAATATAAATAGTGTACAATGGTCTGAAAATGAAATTTAAGTGGTAAAAATAAGACAATAAAAATATTAAAAAATTTCATTTTTTTTGTTCTAGGATCTCATTAGTAGATGATTACTAGTGTAAATACAAAATTTCAGTTTCATAACATTTTTTTTAACTGGAGTTATAGCTAAGTGAACTAGTAAACCTATAATTCATCATTTTTTTGGCTATTTGAAATTTATAAAATGAAAAAAAATGAAACACCTAATTGTTAAGTTGCATATTAAGATAATAAACAAAATATTTCATTACAAAATAATCGTGTTTTTTTTTTTTTTATAGACTAGTAAAAATTTACTTAAGTTTATCCTTTACCTACCAATATATACATTTTGTAGAGGAAGTTCTTAGCTATAAGAATAAATAATTTTTTATTGCCTCTCGCTGCATCTGTAACGCACACAAATCTTATTGTTATAAAAAAAATGATGTTTTTTAAAATTTGTATAGAAAATTAATTATCTATATACAATTTAATAACATAATATGTTAAATTATTATTTACAAGTGTTAGATATGACTAATTGCTTAAAATGCATCTCATCATTAAATCATGACTTTTTCTACACTTCGCCGAATAAAAAAAAATATTTAAGATCATCTATGTCTTAATAGTCTAACAGTTCTAAACATAGAAGCAATATTTGAATTTTACTGATGTGATAAAACAATCTGCAACAAAACAAGTAAGAATAAAACACTGAAATAAAAGTTAAATATAATATATTTATAATACACTGTTCTTTGTTATTATAATATTATTTAATCTTCACTGCATTTGCCTGTGTTTTTTTAGATTCTGAGTGGAGCGAAGATGATATTTATTATTATTTATTTTCTGTGAACATTTTTTCTACTAGAAAGCTTATTCTAATGTACATAATGTAGCACCTTTTTTGAAAAGAAATTATCTTGGGGTAATACTTTAAGGAGGTCATTGTTTGATTTTTCTGGGAGTTTTCCCAATAGAAGGGAAGAAGTAAAAAACATAGGAATACGGGAAAATCAGCACAATATTAAACAAATGTTATTAAAAAAAATATATAATGCCTATATTTAATTATTTTACCATAATATATTTTGATAATTGATAAAGTATCACTATCAACTGAACTCCGCTCAGAATCGTTTTTTGTTAGCATTGATTTATTATTGCTTACAGATTTACTTTAAATTCTCTTTTGTATCCTACATTCCCAGCTTCTTACCTACAACAAAACCAATTCCAAGTGCGAATTATGTCCGTATTTTTAAATGGTTTGTTTTTTATCTAAATACTAAATTAGATACTAAAAATCCCTATAATTAGTATGACTACTTAAGTAGTTATAAAATTAATCATAAGCAAAGTCAGAGGCGCCAAAATGTTGTTGCCCATGGGCGTCAAAATCATAAATACAGTGCTGCTTAAGTATGATAGAACTTGCTAATGAATTATATCTCAGTAATGCTCCTAAGGAGTGCTATTCTTCTGTCTTAAATTTTGAGGTGTTATAATATTCCATTTTTACATTTTTGTACTTATGCCGTAACTGTCTGACAGTCTTTGGTACTAAAAGCCCTGCACTGTTGAACTCTTGAATGAGATTTACCCAACACACCTCTTTTTTTTTTCCACATTTTAATATCAATTGTTTTGTTTTCCATTACTTGTTAGTATTTTCTAACTAAATCGACAAGCAATTACTCCTCTCTTTTGTTAAACGTAAAGTTTCTTTTTCTATTTCAAAGCTCATTGTTTGATCCTATATTTTAAAAAACTGACTGTATGTAGAGAATCTAAAAATTATAACAAATACCTTAATTTTGTTAAATAAGTTTATACAGGTTTAAAATAATTGAGACAATGTGTATTCTCATTTTGTTGCCATCATGCTAAAAGTGGCATACATTCACTTTAGCTACACAGCAGATTTTTTGTTTTTGGAACTTATGTATTTTGATGAGTTGAGAAAATAATTGTAATATAAAATTAGGTGGTTTTGTAGTTATAGCAAATTATTTTTTTAACTCATTGAAATACATAAGTTTCAAAAAAAAAAAATTAAAAATCCCCTTATCAGCTAGTCTAAATTTGTCCCCTAAAAGTAACTGATGAATTTTACAGACTTACAGACATCTATTCACTTTTATATTGAATATACAAAGAAATATTTACCTTTCAATTGCATTTCTTGTTATTATGTGGCTTTTATTGTACAACTTGCTTTGTGTGGTAGGGTTCAGAAGAGGTATAAGGTAAGGATTTACTTCATAACTACCGTATCCTAATAGACATTCTTTTATGACCCCCTGCTTCAAATGTAGGTTTGATTAAAGAGTTAAACATAATAGTTTGACCATGGCATGATCATCATTTTAAGCCATGGATTTCAAATACATTGTGACTTGATGGAAAAATAACGTTTCCTGTTTCAAAATGTTTCTGCATTATTTCCACCTACAACATTAATGAAAATCCATAGTTTAATCATACAGGACACATCAAATGACAAAAGTCAAAAATACACCCCCAGAAAAATCACTCAAAATACACCACTAACAATCTATAATGAATCTCCAAACAACGATAAAAATGTTTTAAACTATATCAAAAAGTAACTCGTTTTATAATAATAAGACATTCACAATAAATGTAATCAAAATAAATAAACATGAAGAAAAACAAGTTTTATAATTATACTAAGTTAGACTAAACCATGAAATAAACAGTTGATTATAGTATAGTATAGTATTTAAAATATGATATATGATTTAGTGTGAATTATTAAAAATTAAAGAATAATAACCCTTATTTTAATTATTATTGATGTTAGGGAAGTGTATGGAAATGTTTAATTATCATCTTTTTATTTGTGATGACCACATCGTCTAAAGAAAACCGCCACTCGTTTCTTTTGTCCTATAATTCACGCTTAATAAAAACGTTAATAGTTCATAATAAAGACGGTTTACGATTCATTTTGTGGCACCTTTCAAGGTGCTGTGTGAATATGATTTTATTTTTTAATATTTTGTTGCAAAAGCTAAAAGAGATAAGAAAAATCTGTCGAGAAAAACATTGAATTACATACAAAATTATAGCAAAACAATCAACAAAAAAAAAAAAAAAATAATAATAATTAAGACTTATTAATCATGAGGTTGGTTATTTAATATCTCCTTTTTTAAAAAGAGCGGTCTGCATAAATGACACACGTATTCAACCTTTGTATGCATTTTACTTTACAGAAAAACAAAACAGTTGTTTGCATTTTAAAAATAGTATGAATGTTGTATATAAATAAAATTTAAAAAGTCAGGAAACTTCACATGTGGATGCAGTCACTGTTGTAGATGAGAAGTTAGGAAGGTAGCTGTGGGGAAATTTAATGTATATCTGTAAAGAACAATAAACCATTGCTAACAAAAAATGATTCTGAGCGGAGTTAGGTTAAAGATAGTATTGGTTTGTCAACAATATATATGACATATTAAGGTACATTATAATTAAGCATAAAAACAAAAACAAATAAATTAAATATTCGACTTTTATAAAGTATTAAGTATTAGTTAAAAAATAACTACATTTATTTTTGAAAATACCATCAGTATTAAAAAATAAAAAAACAAATAGTTTGGACCATAAACTAAACTTTTCCAAAAGTCTTGGACAGAAATTTTACTTCCCGTTTGAAACGGTTTTCGTAAATGCAATTTTATTTATTTTTTGGAAAAATGAAATTCAACTAAGTGGTTATTCAAAAAAGTTAAGCATGATGTATTGCTTTTTTTCGCATGAATTTTAAGATTAAATTAGAACGAAAATCGTAAAAATATCGGTATTTCACAACTTGTATAACTGAACTTCGCTAAACCTAACTTCACCTATCCACCAAGTAGCACAACCAGAATTTATTCTCATGTGAGTGAGAGAAGGGAATGTTGAACAATGGTGTAATGTCTAATTTATTAGCCAAAGAGCCTATAGGAGGTGGAGACTCCCTCAAACTCAGAAATTACATATTATAATATAATTAATAAATAATTACATAGTGATGGTCTTATGATAACTGATAATAGAAACAAATGAAAAAAACCATAATGACAATAAATTAAAAATGTAAATAATTTTGTTACGGCAAATTTAAGTTTTGAAAATGATCGCAATTTAGCTGCAACTGAATAATATAATATAATTCCTTGGTGTTTGTTTTTTTTTAGTTCTATGTCAAATATTCTATAGCCCTCCACCCATTTGGTCATTTTTTGGCGGCCCTGGTCAAAATACTTCACTGGTTATGTTAGGTTAGGCTAGGAGAAAAAAGGTACCTACATCGTACATCCACGACCAAAAATATACAATTAATTTAACTACATTTATTAGGTAATTCAAGCATTTAAATATACAGTAATTATAAAATATGGTAAATATTACCATAACGAACAACTATAATTTTAAATTCATAATAATTTTTTAATCTCAGTTATTTTACTTACAAGAAAGTTATATTTAATTTTTTTTTCAATTATAATTTTTTAGTAATTTTTTTTCTCGTGATATTTTATGAAAATCAAAAAGTTGGACAACATCGCACATGGGTGCAGCCATTGTTGTAGGTAGGTTGTTGGAATTGTATAGTATATACAGGGTATCGTAGTTTATAATAATACACTGTATGGTCTACAACAAAAAAATTAAAAAACAAAAATCGATTGTTAGCAAATTATTAATGTACAAAATTTATCGTGTTTTTCCCTTTTTACCAAAATAAACCAGAAATCAACAAAAAATAAACAATAAAAAGAAAAATGTCGAAAAAAAAATGTTTGAAAAAGAATTGAAAATGTTGAAACAATTTTCATTATAGTAACATCGAGAGAAAAACAGAATATTTGTAGGCTTAATGTGAACAAATTATAGTATTTATGTAAACCATAATATAATATGTTTTTTTGAAAAAAAAATTTCTCCGGTCAATAAAAAAATCAAAACGCGGTCTCTAAATATTGTATTTCTTTGAATAAGGCTGTTAATAAATAATTATAGTTGATTTAAAATATCTAAATATCTTATTTGTCGTCAAATATTTTAATACCTAATTTGTTGGGAAAACAAACACCATCTAGCGCAGTGCCGCGGGCAATCTCCAAAAAAATAATGTACTTACTAAATTGTACTGGATGTTTGGAATATAAACAAAATGATAGCTTGACTTATCTGAGCGATATCAATTATTAATAAAAATTCATGAAAAAAATACACAAATTTTGAAGGA